AGGGTAGTTTTTGAATTGTCAAGACCAGTTTGAGGATGACTGAGCATGGTCTGAAGCCTGTGAGAGTACTTCTCTCATACCCTGGCACAGACACAGGCACGAAAAGAGTTCACCTTACATCAAAAGTGTTCAAAAGAGGATTTTATTACATTCCAGTGGTAACAATAACCCTCTTCTAAACCTCAGAGTTGTTACCAAAAAAAATATTAAAATATCCATCCTTTATTCATATCTGCCATGGGAAGACCTTTGCAACATCAATGAAAGCTCAAGTGGGCTGCAAAATTTATGCTATGTGGACAGGAGGCTTTTAATAAAGGCATAAAAGAAGAATGGATGCTAAGCATGACAAACATCTGCTCAAGAAAAAAGCAGGTGAAAATCATCTTCATCTGCCAGGCCTACCACTGTTCTCTGTGCCCTTCCTGACATAGAAACAGGATACTAAAGGCTCAGCTTTCACCATCTCCAAGACTTACCCAGAAATGTGGAACAGTTGAAAAATACTTCAGACTGTATAATTTAGGAGATCATAAAACCAGTGGGAGAGTTTGAAAATTATTTAGATTTATGAGCTGATGGAAGTTGCTTAGACATCCACACGGTCAGAATCTCTTCCATGAAGTCAAACTGCTTGAAGATCAAAGTATCTGTATCAACATTATAACCAGGCATGAAAAAAGAAAGCCACAACATACAGCAGATGCCCCTTTGTCTGCCCTCAAATTGTCAAGAGGTAGCAACTTTCAGTGCTATTGGGCAGGGCACACAAAATTTACACATGTAATATAGAGAGGGAGGGAGACCAGATGGAAAGAACAAAACGAACATTTACATGGAACACCAAAAATGACAAATTGCTCACGCCCTTGGTGAATTTTACTCTTTGTAATTTTCATGTTATACATACCATTGTACATAGAAGCTGAACATTAGGAAGTTTGCACATTTCCAGCAGTGATAGTGACCAACAACATGTCTAAACTGACACAGAAAATGAAATAAATTACTAAAATACCTTTAAAGAAAGTGTCATCTCCATGGTCTACATCGGGTAATGAGGCTCCCACAAATTAGAATATTGGGAATGACTGTAATTGCATGACCATGACTTCAGGAAGTAATCTCCATTGTGGATCTTCATTCTTTCATGATGATTCATGAAATCTGAGGGGATATTAATAATTCGTAGTAAATTCTGTATCAATCTACATTTAAATATAAACACAATTCACTCTTTTTTTTTTCTTCCTTTAAAGGTAATATGAGTTCTTTAAAAGTTAGTGGGCTCCTTTATTTTACAGAGCAAGATAGGTCTGGGCTGAGGCAGGAGCAAAATGGAAGCCACAGTAAGCTCAGCTGAAGCAGGGAAAAGAAGGCTATTTTAAATAAGTGTTCAGCAAAAAAATTCCCTCCGGGAGAATCAGCACTTGTAAAAGATCCCCAGAGGGAGCCCTATTCTCCCCTTATAAAAAGAATGGGTGCCAGACAGTCCATCTTTACTATAACAACAAGCTGCAAATCCTTCCCTCCCGCTATGGACATTACCTGGTTATGCAGGACTCTGCTTGCAGGGTCAAGAACCTCACATTTTCCTTCTGAATGATGAAGTCCATTGTAATGTGTCTTGCAGGATTTTTTCCTAAGGCCTTCCGAGATGTGATAGGAATGAGGCTGCCTTCTGTGCACCCACTAAGCTCATTGCCAGTTTCATTGTTCCCAGAGAAGGCAGCTGCTGAGGGAGAAAGGTAGTGGGGGCTTGTCCCAAAGACAGCTCTGAATGCAGGATAAACATTTGGAAGCACAATTGAAATTTTAAAAAAAATAAAAAAGACTGAGAATAGAAGATGGGAGCAATATGTTCACATTAACACACTACTCAGAGAACAACCAGCTGTAATTGGATCTTTTGGACCTTTACCATAAGACTCACTCTTAATAGACTAAATGGCAATTATTAAGTATGAAAATGCACATATCCCTATGCTTAGATCTGTGCTTGGCTAGCACTGGGCTTCTCAGACAGACGTAGACATTAAGGCTGTTGCTATGTGATAATAAGTTCTATTGGAGGGACCTACAAGAAACCCACTGACAACAAGTATCCCATAGTATAGATATTATGGAAGAGATACTCAGTAGATCTGAACAGTTTGATCTCAGCTTTCCTGGAGGTGAACTTTAACCTATTGCTTCTTTTACACAGGTGTCTTTTCAAATAGCAGAGAGGGAAAAGCCACTGCCTTTTTCCTTTGTGCTCACTCAGCTTTCAGATGGGGGCAGACATGGGACAGCCTTACCCAAAGCAGCCTATTTGCAGCTGGCTCAGGCATGCTGAGACGCAGCTACAGTTATGATTTCCATTCAGACATACCCTCCAAGAGTCATCCTTCACATTACTGTGTCACTTCTGCGCACTGACAGTACTTTGCATTACAGGGACACCTTCAACATAAGGACTGTAAAGTACTCTACAATACCAGACTACTTATGAATTAAGCTTTGCTTACACTGGCAAGGAATTCCTGTAGTGAATTAAATGCCCCATCCAGCCCCTAAATAATTTCATGAGACTACATAAATCATCTTAAAGGATATATGGGATCCCTTGCCTTCCCAGCCCTCCTTCTTTCCCCACAGATGTATGCAGTGTTGATTATTGCCTGCATTAAGACAAATTATATTTAGTAGAACTGAAGCTGTACATGTTTTTAAAGCAGACTGGCTCTGTGGGACTGTGTGAAGAAGCTGTTTTACACAGGCAGTAGTTCACAATCATTGTTTGGTTCTTTGTTTTCTGTTTTTTGATTTAAAAAAATGCTTCCCTACAAGACATGGGATGCAATAGAAATGAAAATGAAGGAAACAAAGGATTTCACAAATGGTGAAACCAGTCAGAAACCTGATTAATGGGAAAAATCCCAGCAGAATTAAATTCTTTGATTCTCACATTTCTCTATTAAGAGAGACTTCTCAGGAAGCTCATTCTCACATCAGCAGTGTACCCAATATCTAGGGAATAAATGAGCAGGAACTCACTGCGGTGCCAGACTTCTATCAGCCATTAGAGCAGGACAGATTTACAGCATGAGGCTGTATAATAAACCATACTTATGGTGATAAATCAGTTCTCAGAAGAGAGAGAAGAATGTTTTCCTATGGACTGTTGAGGTTAAAGCAAAGGAGTGGACATACTATATACCATGACAGTGCTGCTGTGTGAGCGTTGGCAATTCATGAAACCTTTTCCTGCATTGTCCATCTTTTTAGTATGATATTTCCTTTTCTTTCAAGTATTCATGCCTGTGAAGGGCTCTGGGATTCTTAGGTAGGAGATGCTGCAGAAGCACAGGTTTGCAATGCTTCTCTAAATAGGCAAAAGGATTTAAAAGGCTTTTTAGTGTTTTACAGGGATGGTTGGGGAGAAATATACATTTCTGGGGGGAAGCTTAACAATCATTTTTTAATGCAAAATGGTCAAAAGGTGAAAAGACCACTGTACGACCCCTTTCAAGTGGTGTGATAAGCTGGAACCACACATCTGCAAGACATTTAGCAGGAATAAAGAAAGCATCCTGATAACAAGAGTTAATCAGTTATCATGGCCTCACCAGCACATTCTATCCTGCTTAAAAACAGAGAGGAAGAAATAATCTGAAAAAGGACCAGCAGTCAAGGCACATATTCCTGAAAGAGAAGCTTTACAGCAAACAGCAAAACCAGTTTGTCATTGGTGAAAAATGCAGATTTCATTTACAAGGCATGGAAGAGACAATATCTGTTTAACAACTTCAAATTTCTGTTGTTCTTAGCAGCAGATCAATCAAGAAGAATGGGAGGAATTTATTGTGGCCTATCTCTCCTCAGGAATAGACAATGGGGCAAGAAGCAGAAGGTGCTCAGGTGTGATTCGGTTTGCACAACTCATATGCACTGTGCCACATACACAGCAGAGCTAGTTGTCCTTAATTCTATTTACTGACAAAGGAGAAAAAAAGAGTTTCAAGAGCTCTTCTTCTAAAGCAGACACTTAAAATAGATATCTGCTGGTTTAAAATGCTTGTTTCTCTCTTTTGTCTATAAAGAGAGTTCAGGATGACTAACTCAAGTTGAGACAGCTTAAGAAGATATGAGGAATCCCATCCCAAGATTCATACCAAGAAGAATTTCCTCTTCTAATTGTCCTGCCACAATGATACCTGTCTCAATGCCATGTTAATTCCTTACAGAAATAAAGCTGTTCAGAATAATCTCATCTATATAAAGAAAGGAAATCTGAGAATGGTGCTTTGACCTCAGAATTGTTTTATACATGTATTATTACTTCCTTGCTCTGGTTCCAGGCATATGCCAATATTGATTGTGAAAATGGTCTTTTTCTTTTTGCACCCAGTTTTTCATGCACCTGCACAAAATCCTCTTCTTTGCATCTAAATTCTAAGTGCATCTGAAATTCTAAAGCATCTGAAATTTTCAGGTGGCTATTGTAAAAAAATAAATCCCTGGGAACACTGCAAACCTCATTGCGATGTTAGGTATGAAACAATGCCTGCTTAACAATGGCATTAACAAAACTTGCTGGTATTTGTGGCAAACTAACATTTTCAGATTTAAAAAGGGGAATGAGTATATACTAACAAGCAAATCATCAGCCTGGACTGAAACGTGTACTGCTTTCTGCTGATGATAAAGTGCAGCAGCACCTTAGGAGAAGGATTGCATTAACTAAATATTTTTACAAGACATAGCAAGACAGGCCCATGGAGCTTAGTGACACTAAATGCTAACATAATATAAATATTTAACAACCTCTACTTCCAAGAAAATTCAGTCCACATGAAACATAGATTAGGATTGTGTATCATGAGCCTATTCCAGTATTAGCATTAATGAGATCTAAACTGGCCAGCCAAAGCCAAAATAACAAAATAGTTGCTAGAAAACAGCAGCTAATCTATATGCCACGCTGTCTTCAGCTGTCTTATGATGGTCTGAGTCCAAGCTGCAGTCAGTGATACTTACCTAAAAGTCAGAGAAGATTAGTAAATCAGGTGTCCTAGTCCACAGTACTGGGCTGAAAGATAAAGTGGAATTCATTGAATCTGTTAATCAGGATTCTAACATTCAAATGCCCTATCCTGAAGCTTTTCTAACTGACATTGTGTTGAATGATAAAGTTAATATCAGTTGACAGTTTGCCAGAAGCCATTAATATAAACTCTCGGTTTTGTTTCAGAGCTTGTTAATTTTGTTGTGGCCTTAGAAGATGAAAAATCCAAAACCCCACTATGTTCTCAATTCTTCCTTTCTTTCTTTCTTTCAGTAAAATTTTCTCCTCACACACTTCTTTTTTTTTTTTTTTTTCAGAAAAAGAAGCAAAAATGAACCTAGAGTTTGTTTATACAATACTCTGCACTGGTCCTGGATTTATTTTTGAAATCTGGTAAACTCTCCTTCCAATTTAAATTGATTAAATAGATACAGCTGAGTAAATGGAGAGAGCTAGGCTGTAAGTCATATGTTTTCACTTCTAAATTACATGTAGAAGAACACAAAAAAGAAAGCAAAGAAGAAAAAGTGTACAGAGGAGTTCACTGCTTTCAGGATTAAGAAAATAAAATTACAAACAAGGTTTGATGGCAGCCACATTTTGATCTCACATAGCAGATGTTGCGGTCAGCTATGGCCAACTTTCTTACACCAGTGGCCTGGGATGCAGAGCATGCCTCTTACTAAGTAACACGGAGCAGGTACACAAAAAGAACTACCAAAATGCAGCTGGAATGCTTCCATAATTAAGCGCTCTGGTCAAAAATATTTCCTTTCTCTTAAAAATAAAGGATGTCTCCAGTCCTAATGCAGCAATTGGCATCTGTAATTCTTCAAAGAAGTAATCTAGTAACTCTAGTTAGTTCTATTATTTTCTTACCAAAAGCACATATTAGACTGCATGCCAATTCCTTTGTGAATAAGAAATAATTAAGATACTGCAATGAACTTAATGGTTTCCTCAAAAAAAAAAACAAACCCTGGAGGCAAGTCTTCATAGTCAAAGGGGATTTTATACAGTTTTTGTTAAACTGTGAAGAATAAAACAGGCATAATTTTCTTAATATTGAATTTTTGCCTCCGGATATGTGGAAATATTAAATATATAGAAATCTTTGTACATATGAAATCGAAAACAAAATATATGGAAATACTAAAAATTTAGTAAAATAGCTTTGTGTAACCTGGAAACAAACAGATGTCTACCTCATCTTGAAAAATAATTTATGTACTTTTCTGCTCAAAAGAACCTGCGTAGGCTAATTTGCAAAGAATATTTGCTACCCCTGAAAGAAGACTGTGGAAATAGCTTCTGTATCTTCCCTGAAAACTATTGAAGGTACTATGGCCTTAGATAGACATACTTCTTTCCTTAATTTATACACAAGGTTATTAAAGCAAACTATTTTGTTTCTTCTCTGTCTTTCATGTCTTAGTCTTACAGCACTTGGGATATGTTTGTATTAGGAATTTAATCCGCTTTCGCCAGCACTTTTCTACAGTATTTACAGTAACCCTTGTTGAATTATTTCCATCCACATTCCACATGAATGCTTTCTCTTTCCTCTGTGTTTGCTCTAGGCAAACACAGAGCACAGACTTACACTGTGAGATCCAGTTCTCACTTTTATTTAATGGGTCAAACATATTTTCCATGTTATGTTGCCCATTATATCTCAATATTTGGTCATAGATCCAGCCATATGTCTAATCACTACATGACAGAAATTATATATGTGAATAATTTCTAACACATATAGTTAAAATGCTGCTAAAAATATTTGTTCTGCATAGGGGAATTTTTTTTAATAAGCAAATGGGGAGGATCCTTCACATTACAAATAGCAGAAGTCCAGGATGCTCTCAGGTTTAGTATTTTATCATGTGCAGCTTCATACTCCCAAGACTCTGAAATGACAGTTAGAAGACAGGCAGTACAGTTCTCAAACCCAATATTGTGCTGTTTCTGATTTGCAAAAATTAAGTTTCTATCTCACTAGAAGTAAGAGAGGATAGCTCCACAGTTTGTAACAGGGGCACCATGGAAACTGCTCATTGAATTCACCAGGGGTCTGCTCTGTGAGCCTGCAAGGTCCTAAAAGAAAAAGGGTGCCAGACAAGTAGAATGAGCAACATTCACTGAACAATGAAGCTGGTGAAGGGGTCTAGAGCACAAGTCCTATGAGGAGCAGCTGAGGGAGCTGGGCTTGTTTAGCCTGAAGAAAAGGAAGCTCAGGGAGACCTTATTGAGATCTACAATTATCTGAAAGGAGGTTTTAGTGAGGTGGGGGTCATAAGAACAGAGGTAGACACTGATCTCTTCTCTGTGGTGATCAGTGACAGAACCCGAGGGAATGGCCTGAAGTTGTGTTCGGGGGACATTTAGGTTGGATATTGGAAAGAGGTTCTTCACCCAGAGGGTGGTTGGGTAATGGAACAGGCTCCCCCAGGTAGTTCTCATAGCACCAAGCCTGTTTGGAAGACACTATCAGGCACATAGCGTGACTGTTGGGGATGGGTGCCGGGCCAGGAGTTGAACTCGATGATCCTTGTGGGTCCTTTTCAGCTCAGCATATTCTGTGATTCTGTTATTATATACATATACTAATGAATAAATGTATGTAAGCTTTTGATTTTTAGCTATATTCTGGGCTTTGATAATATTTACTAGTCAGCAAATTTCATGGTATGTCTCCATGCAACAGAAACATACAGCATCCATCCCTCCACACATTATAACAGTCTCATGTACATCCAGAAGGAACCTATCCCAGCAAAAACACTGTGCAAATGAGAGTGACCGTTTAGTCAGTGGAGAAAAATGAGGTCTACTTCACAAGTCAGGCAAGAGGAATTCCATCCAACCTGACTTTCACAGGGATCAGGGTATGTGCTAGACCATGGGCTTTTTCAGACAGTGAGACTGTAGCACAGGTAGAGCTGGGTAAGAACTAGGGACATTGCCACAGTGTAAACAGTTTGGCAGGACAAAAACCTTACACTCACTGAATCCGAAAGCAGGAAGGCACAAGGTGATTTAAGAGTTCATCTCCTTCTTCCTGAGGGGCCTCTGGTGGTCTAGTGGTTAGGGTGCAGGACTCTCACTGCTGCGACCCGGGTTCGATTCCCAGCCCCCCGGGCAGATGGAGCTCGTCAGCCTTGTAAGGCAATCCATCTAAGAGAAGGTCACTCTAAACAAACCTACGTCCTGGGGACCTCACTGCCACTGTCCAAGTTTGCTTGGCCCCGGCAGATGAACCTCAGGATTAAAGGGTGGGCTCAGTTCAGCGCACGCTGTGTCTCACCTAAAAAATCCACTGCGCAGGCTCGAAGGGTTAATGACCTTTCCCAAATCGTCGCTCGCGAAGACTGGCCATTATATATTATATATATATTATCCTTCTTCCTGAAGGACCACATGTATCCAGTGCAATTAAAGAGTATGTTTCCCCCTTTCCTGCCTCACATGTATTTCTCCTTTCTACAACAAGAAAAAGGGACAAGCAATGCCTTTCCCTGGAGAAAGACCATCACTCCAGAACAAAACCCTACCCTTTACATTTAAGCCATCAAAGATCTAATATTAGAAGGACAGAATCATTCATTATATATATTCCTACAGCGGTTCCAGTGGTGTGCTGCACAAAAAATGATAGCTGCTAAGAAGAGAAACTGTACTCATAAATAAAGCCTCCACACCCAAAATTCCAGGAGACATGAATTTGGCTCAGATTCCAGCAACTCTGTTTTGAATGATCCATTCAACACCAGAAGTGATGAAGCAGTGTAACAGTGATGCAGCATAAATGTTTTATAATCAGCGGTATTGGAGACCCAAGGGTTTAAAAACCAGGCCCAAAATACACCAAGAGAAGATCAGAACAACATGTGAAATTGCCAGCCTCAAAGAATACTGTGCCTTTGTCTCAACCAGCCACAGGGTGAGCTGGAAAGCACCAGCTGAACCTATGGCAAAGTAATTTTTGTTAAGGAGGAGGAGTACTAAAGGCTACGCCTTTGTTCAGCAGGGAATCATGTAACATCAGCAAGATTTTGCAGAATTATGTAAACTATACCTGGTTGATCAGCCTACCTGATAAGAAAACCAGCATCTCTGAATGGTCACAGCAAGGGGCTGGCAGGAGGTGGCTGTCCTTTGGATCTGAGCTGAGACAATTCCGATCTCATGGCACTAGCTATAGAAAGTCCACTGTAAATGGCACTGATTATTTTCTGGTTTCCATCCCTGCAGAAGGAACAAAAATCCTTGACTACCCAGGTGGTACTTGATTCTTGAAACTGGATACACATAGAGGTTATCTCAATATAAGTCATCCTGTGACAACTAGAATAAATGCCTAAAATGGAACCAACTTTATTTGGGGACCATGGGAAAATGAAATACATTTTATAGAAAAAAATTATAACTTTTAATAGCAGCACTGGAGAAACAAATTAAATGTACATTAGCAAAAACTATGCCCAGGACACCCAGTGTGGAACATAGAGAGTTTGACAAAGTGAATTAAGGGCAGCCATGGCAGACCTACATCTTATGCAAGTGACAGTTCACATGAAGTTCAGACCACACAAACCAACACGTAAGTCCCATGTCAGCATATTTCCTTGCATGATTCTCAGGGAGACTCATATTTCAAACTGCACCTGAAGAGGTTCTAGACTTCTACCTGCTGCACTGAGAGGTGCTTCAGGGAGCCTAGCCAGCAAATATTTCTTGTGAGATCAGTGCATTGAGCCTAATCATGTGTGCAAGGATAGTAATAAAATAGTTTCCTTCGTCCATTTCTCAGTTCTTCTCTCTGTGCAGGTGTCAACTCAGGTGTCAACCTGACGTCAAGCTGGAGCTCACTCAGGCATTGCTGCAGCCACGCCTTGAGTTTCAGGTCAGCTCTGGCTCCAAGGCTTGCAGGCCTGTAGAGCTCAAGCAGCGCATTACTCCTCTGTGTGGCTTCTGCAAGGTGTGATACATGGATTCCACTTTCTTCTGCTGCTCCAATACAAAAACTGCTGTTTAAATATTTACCTATCACACGCTCTTCTCATCTGTGTCTCAGTCAATTATCCTTCTGTCCTTTCATTTCACGTTATCAATTTAGTTTTGATTGCTAGTCACAGCAAAAGATCACCAAAGAAGGAAAATTGCTGATTTAAAAAGTAGGTGGAAAATACTGAAAATCCCTCTAATGTACAGCTGATGAAATTTTCCAGCTTGGTTAGTTTTCTGCATAGGAAAATTACTGTCTTGAACTAAGATTTTCCTAAAATCAAATTAGTGTTGAGCTAGTGGAAGCTTTTATTTATAGCACATAAGCCTTTTTTAGAAAGTCCATCCAGCAACAACTTCTATTTAGCAGCAGACTGGGGCAATTTTCCAGTAGGTCTCCTTGGGAGAAAGCCCTCAAGACCCATTGGTGTGTGTCCACACTTAGTACTGAACAGAATGGTAAACAACTGAATGTGCATACCAGTAGTAGAATTAATTTTTAGTCACTTTTACAGGAAAGCATTTTCAAGTTTCAAACATTGGTCTTCCCAATTTTAAATCTGACCCCAAGATTAATTTTGTGAATTGAGAAATTAAACAGGCTGGTTTTACAGATAAAGGTCAATAAGGTTACTACATCAAAACTCAAGTTTGTTGTCTCTGTTTTACATTAAGGAAATATTGTAAGGGGAAAAGATTGCAAATATCAACTCCTTATTCTGAAATTCCATCTCTCCATTCCATCTCTCCTTGTTTCACCCTGCATTAATCGAGTAAGGCACTGACAATCATACATTTTTCCTTGTCATACGCTTCAGCCATTGTGCAACCTGGATAAGCACAGATACCAGGGACTTGAAAAGGGTAAGTTACAGGGAAAGGACAATCACACCACATAATCTGAGTTATAGAAATCATTTGAAGAGCAGCAGTGAACCATGGAATATATTTATTATCTTTCTACACATTTCAAGATTTCTTCATACAAGAGATTGTCATAGCACAATAGACACAGAGATGAACAGATCAAGCAAAGAGATGAACAGATCAAGCAAAGAGAAGAACATACATTGGGATCAAGCAATTGTCTATTCTTATCCCAAAGAAAAAACAGATTGCAAGATCTCTCTTATGCTTCAGATACTCCAACCTTTTTCTACTTTTGTTAATATGCTTAAAATACAAGATTTATGATGATCTATTCTGGAATGGAGCTTACCTTGGCAATCCAGGCAAGGGAAGATTAAACCAGAACAGTGACCTGGAGACAGACAGTTTCTCAAGATGAAGTAAAATAATTATAACAGAAAAGAAAACAGTATTATAGGCGCTGAGATGATGTCCCAAAGGAAAATGCTGTACACTCCTCCCTGCCACCTGTGATGTGAACATCCCAGGAGGTACAAGGAAGAAGACTGAAAATATTAGGTTCCCCACCTCAGCATACACAAAGCTGAGTGTTCAGGTCCTGTGTGTTTAAGCAGCCAAATACACAAGTTGGCAGCTGAGATGGGTGCTGCTGTGTTGAGCACAGAGGCCTTGCAGAGAGCAGGATGATAACAGCAGGTACAACCCGCTGTCTCACCTTCAGCATTACAAACAGGTGGGCTTTCCTATAACCTTGTGACAATGTACCATTAGGGATGAGACTAGTGTCTGTAACTGTGTGCATCTGCACATACATGTGTGTTTGGCTGGTTCCTAGCTGTGTCTATTGCTTCATGATTATTAAAAATATATTGCAGCAGGGAAATTACACCCATGTGCTTTAGCCTGGGCTTTTGAGTGTTCAGGAACAACTTTTCAGCAAAGCATTTTTGATTCCTACCTTGCTTTTGCTCCAGGGCACTTAGACAAGAAAGCAATTGTAGTTTGAAAACACTCAGTGCGTGGTAGCACAGCAGCAAATACCAGTTTGAAAACTGGCAAACCAAACTTGGCACCCCAGGATATGGTTAGTCCTTTTGGCTGTCAAGTTTGGCTTGCCAGTTTTGAAACTGGTATTTGCTGCTGTGCTTCTCACTGGTGTGGCCTCACCTCAAGTACTGTATGCAGTTTTGGATGCCACAGTAAAAGAAGGGCATCAAATTATTAGAGGATGTCCAGGGGAGGGCAACCAACATAGTGAGAGGCCTTGAGGGCAAGGCTTATGAGAAACAGCTGACATCACTTGGTTTGTTCAGCTTGGATGAGAGAAAGCTGAGGTATGACCTCATTGTTAAGCAGTGACCTCACCACAGTCTACAGCTTTCTCAAGGGTGACAGCAGAGGGGAGGTGCTGATCTCTCTGTCGTGAGCAGAAATAGAATATGAGGAGATGGAATGAAGCTGAGCTGAGATTGGGCATAAAGAAAAGGTTCTTCACTGAAAGAATTGTCAGCCATTAGAGCAAGCTCCCCAGGGAGGTGGTCACAGCAACAGGCCTGTGACAGTTCAAGGAGTGATGTTTTTAGTCATATGGTTTATTTTTAGATAGTCCTGTAGAGAGCAGGAAGTTGGACTCAATGATCCTTATGGGCCCCTTCTAACCCAAGATATTTCATGATCCTATTAACTACTTGAGCAGCACAGTTCAAGTCACTCAGGTTGCCTCTATCCAAACGTCGTAGCCTAGCTTCCTAGCTAGGCCCTCAACAGAGATGTGTAGCCATGAAACTTCACAGAAAGCACCATATGAGAAGGGATTTGCTACCATTAGCAAGGGCAGTTTTCACTTATGTGACAATATGTGCAACTGTTGCTGTTTTCATGTCTACACACACACAATTGATGTTATTTGAATTATACTACTACTGATAGCAGTATACTACTGATATCTTCCTGAGGAGCTAATGGAGCAAATTTTATTTGGACCATACCAAATGGAAACATGGCACACATTTGTTAACAGACTGTGCAGAATTTTCTGAGGCAGAACTGAAGAAATCAGTCCATTGCTTATTTCTGACTTTGCTGGCTGGCTGGTTTTAGCATAATGTTTGCATATTGAAAAACCAAGTCCTACAACTGCAAAGGCTAGCACAGCCTGGCATTCAGAAAGGACAGCGAGAGGTTTGTCTGGGGAACACATTAATAAACTGAGTGAACAGTGGATGTGGCCTTGCTAAAATCTAGATTTTACTCCCATCCTTGCCAGAAGTTACTTTTTTACAACCTGTGCATTATGTAACTTGCAAAATGGGTAAAAAGTGCTTGCAAATAGCGGTCAGAAACATTGCAGCAAAATAAATGTTAGGAATAGTACAGAATTATTGATAGAAAATGGTAGTTGACATCAGTCTACAACCCCTTGATTCCCAGCGTAATGCAGTTCTTTTCTAGGACCCAAGGTCTCTACTTCTCTTAAAGAGGTGGGGGAAAGCAGAAGGGAGTTCTTTCTTATATAAAGGCATATATAGTGTGTGCTGCTCTGAAGGGCTGTACAGAGGCAACTAAAGGACTGTCACTATGTTGCCTGTATGACATCATGTAGTATGGGGAAGATGCGTAATTTCTTGCACTGGAACCAGGTCAAAACCTTGAAGAAAACAGCTGGCCTGTAGGACAAGCAAGCCCTTTTTATTCTGAAAGTCATTAAGCCTGGATGCTACAGTTCAAGAGCGAAACCAAGAATGTTATAGGAGATGTGGGTCATGAGGGACCTTAAAATCATCTAGTTCCAACCCCAATGCCATTGAGCAGGGATACCTTTCACTGGGTGGTTACTCAAAGCCCCATCCAACCTGGCCTTGAACCAGGGTATTCACAACTTCTCTGGGCAACTTGTTCCAGTGCTCACCAATATTACAGCAAAAGATTTTCTTCCTAAGAGCTAATCTAAATCTACCCTCATTCAGTTTAAAGCCATTACCCCTTGTCCTATCACCACATACCCTTGTCAAGTGAATGGGGTAATATCAGACTGGCAACCTGTCACCAGTGGGGTTCTGCAGGGCTCCATCTTAGGCCCTGTGCTCTGCAACATCTTCACAAATTACTTGGATGCAGGACTGGAAGGGATACTAAGCAAGTTTACAGATGACACAAAACTTGAGGAGCTGTTAACTCCCTCGAAGGCAGGGAGACCCTGCAGAAAGACCTCAACAAATTGGAGGACTGGGCAATCTCCAATCATGTGAAGTTCAACAAGGGGAAGTGCTGGATTCTGCACCTGGGATGGGACAACCCTGGACATATGTACCGACTGGGGAATGAGATGTTGGAAAGCAGTGCTGTGGAAATGGACCTGGGTGTCCTGGTCGATGGCAAGTTGAATCTGAGTCAGCAGTGCCCTGGCAACCAGGAGGGCCAAACGTGTCTGGAGGGCATCAGGCAAAGCATTGCCAGCTGGTTGAGGGAGGTGATTGTCCCACTCTGCTCTGCACTGGTGTGGCCTCACCTTGAATATTGTGTGCAAGTTTGGGAACCACAATACAGGAAAGATATTAAGCTGTTAGAGATTGTCCAAAGGAGTGATAAAACCCAAGGGAATGACCTGAAGTTGTTTCGGGGAGGTTTAGGTTAGA